ACCTGTTATGGGGCTTTCGGGGGTGTTTTGTTCAAGGATATGTTTGAGCATCGGTTTTCAGATATTTTCTAATTATTTTCCATGTCTTTTACTATCCGTTATTGCTGAGCCATAGGAAAATATCATATGTTGCGTTCCCCGAGCTCAAACTTCTCAGTACTTTGGACACCTGAATTATCGTCATCCCCCTTGTTTGGCTTCAACAAGGAAAAGTAACAACATGCACAGTCTCCACAGTCGGAGGATGACATGCCTGGGTATGTTTTGCCGGTGTTCTCAATGCGAGGAGCCTACAGCAACAACACTCCATGCCACTAACACTGAAGCCCACAAGGAAGCTGAAAGGAGGCATCCCCCGGCAAAACAAACAAGGTCCGGCCCTGGTTCAAGGCTGTCAAAAGAGTCACGGAAGTTTTTCATCCCCCGAAAGACTACTGTACTGCAAGGCATATTTTCTGTGAGGATGATCACCAAAAGATGCAACAATGGAAAGGACCAATAGTGCAGCATGTCTTCCTCTCACAGAAAGCCTTCTACCGCGCATAGCCGGTGAGCTAGGAAAAAACAGTGCGGCGTACAACAACTCAACCAACAAGCACAATTGCCTAAACAAGCATGTTCACAGTAGGCAAACAATCCACTAAATACTGAGCTTCCGGCCATGCAGCGTTGGACTACCAGGGGATAGACACCATTTATCGAAACCGCGGTATAAGATAAACCCAAGTTAAAACAAGAGTACAGGAGAGGTTTGGTGTCCCCCGAAAAGGAAAGGCTCATATCACTCTGTCAGTAATGTTCGTTGTGCCGCTCACAGCTCGTTGGTCCCCTGCCAGCATTGCACTTCTTGTTCACGTCCCCCCGTGAAGGTGTTCGGCCAGCATGCGTCGTCGTCTATGGCTTTGGTCCGACATGTCCCCTTCTTCATCGGAGGGGCTGCGGGGTCGTCTGCGCGGTACCCCGCGTGGCGAGGTTGAAGTCGAGGCTCTTGCCGTGTCCCCCAAGCCATGATGTCTTTCTTGGTACCACCATGGCTCAGGCTGCCACTGTCGTTCCCCACCGGCAACTTCTTCAGGAGTGACAGCTGCTATCTCCCGTACGAGGTTCAGTGCAGCTTCCTGTATTGTTGGCAGCATGTGCGGCGGCCAAGTTTTGACTTGACGCAGGAGACTGCGCAAGGTCTCAACTGCTCTGTACCACTCCGGGGCAGCTTCAGTGTGCATCAGGGTGCTGTTCCCCGCTCCACGGTCCAGAGATATCACATTCGCCGGGTGGGTGAGCGAGTTCCCCGTCAGCAACGTCTCCAGCGCTTCCGTAACGGCGATGAGTTTCGCCCATTGCGATGTCCCGCCAGGGTTCCCCGACAGGATCTCATTCAGCACTTCCCGCAGCGGAGTCAGGATCGGGGGCAGTTGCACATGCACTGCGATATTGGCTTGCTCCAGCGTCCCAAACCAATCAATGAGGGCTGCAACTTGTGGCGCAACCATGGCATACGACACATGGACCTCGCCACCTTGGGCGAGGCAACGTCTAGCTAATCCCCCTAATTGTTGGGCTGCATGTAGTGCTGCTGCCGTCACTGCATTGTTGCCGTTCCCCGCCGTATGGGCAATGTCCCGGCCCACAGTTCCATGTTGCATGCTCTGGCTATCGTCAAGCTGTGCCGCTGTTGGTGTGTCGACCAGCAGGTCAATCAATGCTGTGTCTGCTGCCGCTACTATCTCTCTGCTTTGGCTGTCGTCCCAAGTTTGGGCGATCCTGCGGATGGCGATGAGCCCTTGCTCGACTCGTTCCCACGACCTGCCCCCGGGTCGGCTTGAGCCCTGTGCTGCTGCAGTGGGTTCGTGCGCCATGCTGCCTTGTGCGCTCGTCCCCATCATGTCTGCTGGGGGAGTCGGGTTAGGTGTGGTCGGCGTGAGCTGCTGTGTCTCAGTCATCGCTGTATCTGCCTGAGTTTTTGGCTCTCCCCCATATGTCTGTTGCCAGGAGGTCTGCATGAAGCTTGGTGTCTCGGTGTCAGCCAGGACAGTGTTGCTAGTGGTGGTGGTAGTGTTGTAGTTTTCGTTGCTGGGAGTCGTGGTTATGGTGGTGGCTGTGGTGGCGGTGGTTGTGGTTCCAGTGTGGTCACTGTGTGTGTGTGTGTGGGGGAAGTCTATGTTGTCTAAGTTGTCTACCGTCGTGGAGGGTCCCCGCGGAGTGAGCTGTAGCGTTGGCTGCAGTCGCTGAGGAGGAGGCTGTGGCACTGCTGGCTGTTTGGACGCTGCTGGCTGCTTGGGCTGCTGCTTGCCTCTCTCTCTGTGACCTTCGAAGGTCTCTGCCATCCGATAGGATGTTGTGGTGTTCTCGCTGTGGTTGCGACTGTTGAGTCGGCTGTGATGGCTGTGGCCGTTGGCCTGATGGCTTCCCCAATGCACTGGGGTAGTAGCTCTGTGGTGGTTCATGCGATGAGCTTGAGCTTGCCGATGCTCCCGACCTCGTCGCCTGCTGCGGATTGTTGGGTGTCTTGTCTCGGCTTGTGGTCTGCATCGGGGCCGGGGCTTCGCTGTCTTGCTCGCCTGTGTGCTCTGGGATTGTCGGGGGGATGTCCCCCTTTGGCTTGCTTGCTCGCTGTCTGTTAGCTCGCCTGTCTGCTGCGATCATGTTTCGGCGTCTCTGTCGAAGTTTTCCAACTGGCGTGGGGGCGTCGGGTGAGAGGAGTTCCACGCGGATGTGCCAGCCATCGTCCTGCCTTTCGAGAAGGAGTCGGTCGCCAGGGGTCAAAAGCATTGTGTCCCCCTCATAGGCAATCGTTGTAGGAGTAGCTTCGATGTCTAACGTCCATAGGTCTGCCGTGAGAAATTCCATTACTCCTTCGGTGCCTATGGAGATCGCAGGTGCGTCTGCCACTGGCCCTCCATCTCCCTCGATCACAGTGGTTGGTAGGCTCCCCGGTTCACGGGGTTTTCGCTCTCCATCCGATCTAATGGAGATTCGCCATCGACCTTCGCCAAGGGGAGTGACTTCAGCTTCAGCATAGCCTGAGAGCGGCACGTGCGGGGGGCGGTGGTCCCCCTCCTGGTCGCCCTCTTGATCTCCTTCTGGATCATCCTCCACTTCTGCTTGTGTGTTGATCCCCGTCTCGGGGTTGGCTGCAGCTGTAGCTTCCTGTTCAAGGTCGGTGGGTGGGGCTTGATCCGGGGGGGTTGCTGAAGGTTGCGGCTTTGCACCTTCCGCAGGTTGACGGCTATTTCTTGCGGTCGAAGGTGCCAGTCGATGCACACGTAGTCCCCATCCTTTGGGTGTGAGTTCGCACATGAACTGGTCTCCTTCCACGAGCAGCATTGTGTCTGGTTCGAAGTCGTCAAGATCCGGAAGGTTGACGACTGTGAGCAGCCAGACATTGGCCCTCTCCATCGGTGCGAGGCGTCCCATCATGCCTGCTGTGAAGGGAGGTGCTGTCTCCAGCGGTCCGAACTGTCCCAGCTTCACTGTTTTGAGGGGCGGGAGGCCCGTGGAAGGCCGTCTGTTTCGTTGGCCTTCAATCTGGATTTCCCAGCAGCCTTGGGTCAGCTGTGTGAAAGTCACCTGTCCCCCGATAGTGGGGAAATGGATGTCTGGAGGCAGGTCTCCTTGGAACGTTCCCGTCTGGGAAGCTGCCCATTCTGCTTGTGCTTGCCTCTCACTTGCTGCTGCTCTGCTTTGGCTCGCTGCCGCTGCTTCGTTCGCTTCGCGGTTCCATCTCTCGTATGGTGATTCGCGGCTTCGTTGCACGTATTGAGCCCGTGCTTCGGAGGCTCGTTTGGTGTCAGTGGCCTCTTGTGACGGGGAGGCATTGCTCTGCTGAGCCGGTTCCTCTGGCTTAGTGTCCTGAGTTTGCGCCGTGGGTGTCCCCACGGTTTGGCTGCTGTCGCTGGGTTTGTTGTCTCGACTGGAGGTCTGGTCTGCCGGGGTAACGGGGCTCTGGGGTGGTGCGGAGCTGCTGCTGGCTTGTCCAGTTGCTGCACTTCTGGGTTCGAGGTGCTTGTTGAGCAGCTTGCTCCAGTCTTCGCGGGCTGCGTTGGCTGCTTTGCTGCCGGGTTGTGCCAGGGGGTTGCCTCCCCCGGGGGGCGTGGGGTTGCTGTTGGAGGGGTGTTGCGGTCTGTAAAGCAACCCCCATCCTGGTCCCCCTTGCTGCTGAGGAGGTGGCCTTCGCTGATAATTCCCTCGCTTGTTATGCTGTTTGTACGTGTACTTGCCAGCTTTGTTTTGGACCCTTTGTGAACCGTGTCCCGCACTTGCTTCTGTACGTTTTGTCGACGTTGCCGCCCCGGGCCGGTCTCTGCGCCCGTTGCTATTTCCCCACTGCTGTGGGGGGTCCTGCTGTGGAGGAGTGCTGTTGTCAGGCGCTGTTGTCTCGAATGGGGCGGAGTCGGCTGGCGGAGGGTCCGGTGTGGTCGGGGATGGTTGCTGCGATGGGTCCCCCGAGACTTGCTCGGTCTTGTTGTCTGTTGCTGTACAACTTGCAGTGTTTATGGCAGGCTCTGTTGTCTGCTCAGAGTGAGTCTGCTCTTCGATTTGTTCGGCCTGCTGCTGCGTGTGTTGTTGTGTCGCAGTTTGGGCTTGGAGTAGCGGCGATTCTGCAAGCAGGCTCGCGGCTTGTTCTTGGGTGAGGGCCCACGGCGGCTGCACGGGGAAAGACGGTCTGGGTCCAGATGTTCGCGGGTTGGAAGGCTCTTGCACCTGGCTGCGTGTGCGAGGCGTAGGTGGGGGGGAGTCTGCGTGCCATGGATCTGTGTCTGGGTCATACGGTGCTGGAAAACGTACTTCCCAGAGGGTGTTGGCTTTGGGCTGCTGTGGTTGTTGCTGTTGTTGGTGGTAGAGGGGGGTGTGGTGGTTCTGCGGTTGGAACGAAGTTGGCTGCTGTTGCTGGCTGTGTTGTTGGTGGGCCGGCAGAGTCTGTGTTGCCGTCGCAGGGCTCAAATGGGGTGGGGCTGCGACCTGCGGTCTGCCAAAAGGTTGCTGGGGAGGTTGTGTTTGGCCCACCCCGGTGTGTTGCTGTTGTTGTGGCTGGTATGGTCCCCCAGGTTGGTGGCCCGACGGCAGCATTGGTAGTGTCTGGGGGGCTTGCGCCTGGAGGAGGGGGTTCCCCAGCTGTGGCGTGTAAGTGGGGTTCCCCGGCGGGGGGTTCGTGACAGGGGAAAGGCTGTAACCACCCCACGATGTCACAAAGGCTCCATTCGTCGCTGGGTGGGTAGCATGCCATTGGAAATGGGTCGCGGCCACCGGGCTGTAGGATCCAGGTCCCCCCTGCGCTGCAACCCACGGCGGCAGCCATGGTGTGGGGGGGTTTTGTAGGCTTCCCCCAGGTGGGTTACCCGTTGGGGGGCAGTGTTGTGGGACCATGGTCGGCTGGCTCGACTGCGGGTGCTGCCCAGAGCTGCTGCTGCCGGTCGGTCCTTGCTGTGCATTTGTCTGAGGCTGCTGCTGATGCTGCTGTTCGGCTGGTGTGCTCGTCGTGCGGTCACTTGGGGAGTTCATCCCCCAGACATAGCTCAGCGCGATCAGCGCGTGAACTGCGGCGGCTTGCTGTCGCATGTTGTAGCTGGTGCACTGCTGCGGCGGCGTATGACAATATGCTGTGGTTCTGCAACTAAGAACTCAGTCTCTGCACGCAAGACGGGTACATGAAAAAAACATAGACGGACTGGGATGTAGTACGGGTAGAGCGCAACCCATGCGATGATGCCGTGGTGCAAAAAGTACAGAGGTACCGATAGTGCATGATCGATACAATGTCGGTCGACATGTTTGAAGACCAAGCGGCAGCGGCAGGCGTGGGTTTCTCGCAGCTCACAGACGTTCCTGATTCGAGCGAAGTTGCGGGTTACCTTTGTCACAGGGTGCATGTCATGTCCTCATCGACAGTATGGCGGTCTTCAAAGTAGCGACACGGTCTGAGGCTGCCGCACGACTGAGTCCTCTTGCTGGAGAGAAAAACACTGAAAAAGACCTTGAACAAGCCCCAGCCCTATCCCCATGGTCTCTTTGCGATCACAGTTTGGAGGTTCCCCACACATTGGTAGTGGGGGGGGCGGTACAGCTGATTGACGTCCCCATGGGTAGCTGTTGTCTGCCGCGAAGAAACAGCGCTGCGAGGTCATCATTCACAGTCCCCCTTGTGTGATCTTCTTCTTGCGAGTTCTTTTGCTCTTCGTAGTCGACGAGGTCCCCCTGTTGGGGGCAAGGTTCTCAAGGCGATCCTGATCCCCGGATGCCCAGGGGATGTCGTTCTTTTCGACGAAGAGGTCCTCTGCGTTCGCCCACCAAAATCTGTCCTCTGCTCTGGTTTGCCAGTCTTCGCCAGCAACTTCGACAATCTGCCTCTCAACATCGAGGTGCGGGTTGAACCTGCGACTGTGGCGGTGTCCCCCCCACGAAGGGGGGATGCTTTGCTCGACTCGCCACCATGCCAAGTTCCGCCATTTCATCATTGCTGATGCCACCTCATCTCCGCGGCTTGCATGGCCGGCCAGACTCCAGATCTGGCTCAAGATGAATGTGGACCATCTTTGTATGTCATGGCGATGCAGTGCTAATCTCGCCTGTCGAAGGCTTCTCTTGTTCCACTCCACCCAGTCGTCCCCCGCCGGCTTGTGGAGGTGCATGATGGTACGAGCTTGGTTGAGCTGCAGGCTATTTGCACATCTCAGTAAGTATTCGCTGCACCCCCACGTCTGGCACGCCCATAGAGCACTTTGACGAACCAACACTGTATGGAGTTGAAGTCTTGATCGCAGTGGTGCTCTCGACAAGAGTGTCCCCCGATGTTTTCGGAAGGCACCCCGTGCTCGGGATTGCATCTCAGCCACGATCATGGCTGGGTGACCTTTGAAGCTGAGGGGGCTGCCCAGAGCTCGGATGATGTGGTCGGGCCCTTTCGACAACACCCTGTCTCCTGCGACCATGAACTCGGTTCCACCGGCTTGGTTGTCGATGATCTCCGTCTTCAGGGGGTGGATGTCAAGGCCCTTCTTTGGCAGGTTTTCCCCCATGCGGTTCAGCATCATCTGTAGATGGTGTGCACTAGTGGACCACAAATAGCTGTCGTCCATGAAGCTTCCCCCGTCTTCTGGGGGGGGCTCCCCGGTGGTGGGCTTGGCATTCTTGGACTCGGCAATGGATTTCTCCAGATCCTTCGCAATGATACGGCCAAAGGCGATGGGACTATCCGGCGAGCCCTGCCTAACTCCATTGGACTGTGGGAGACGGAAATGCTCCCCGCGGAAGAAAATCTCTATCTCGGTGGCGTGCAATAGAGAGGCCCATGCTCGCCCCTCCCACGGGCGGTTCCCCCGAACACAAACGTCTTCTTCGATTTGCAAAGCCAGGGCTTCCTGATACACGGAGTCGAAGGCCTTGCGTATATCAAGCTTCGCAAGGAACATTGGAATGCCCCAATCGCGAGCCACACGGCAGAGGCGACGGAGTATGAGAATGAGCTCGACTCCCTGGCGTGATCGCCGCGCCCATTGTAAGCGGGAGTCCCCCTGCACCCAGTGGGATACTCGGCCAATCAACAGCTGCGAGAAGGTCTTCAAGAGAGCTGAACTTAAAGTTATCGGCCTGGTGTCGCTCCACGATGTGGGTGTCCCCACTTTCGCAAGCAAGGTTGTTATTCCCCGCTCGATGCTTTCCGGTATCTTCGCAGTGTACAACATGTCGCTGAAAAGGCTGAGCAACCGGTCTCGCCAGCAATCGACCGACTCCAAGACTTTTAAAGCTTCATGCGAAATGCTGTCCGGGCCACACGACTTGCCGTTCTTCCAGCGTTTGCGGACTGCTTTGATCTCTTCGAAGGTAAATGGCCTCCATGGGTGGTGCTTGCACATCGCGGTCATCCTGTGAAGAATGATGGAGAAACGTTCCCGGACCTTCGCCCCATCTGCCTTGTGGAAGATGCCACCAAAATGTTTAGCAAGCTTGTGTTTCCATTCATCGTCAGCTTTCAGGCCAAGTTCCCAGGCTGAGTTGTGGCGTTCTTGGTCCACTGCCGCTTTGGATCTCCAAAAACCAGCTCCGGCCAGGTCGAGCTTTTCTGCTACCCAGGCTCGGTGCTCCTGTCGGCGATCTTTGGCGAGCTGCTTCCAGGCTTGTTTTCGGTCCCCCCCAGGGGGCATAGCAAGGATGCGGCGGCGTGTTTCCTTGATCTGCTTGCTCTCGCGGTATTTCGCGAGGGCCCGGCCTGGTTCGGTGAGTTTTACGGCAATGTCCGCAATGATCTTCACCGGGTCGGTGTTGCTGACTTCGAAATTGGCCAGCTCTTCTTCAATCGTCCGGCTGTCTCGAAGTCGCCGAGTTCCCCAGGCTTTGGCGGCCTCTTGATCCTTAGGCGTCTGCGGCACTGGTTTTCGAAGAGGGACGTGGACTGGTTCGTGGTCGCTGCGAGCAAGGTCTCTTCGGTCGAGCACATCCCCCGATTCCGTCAGAAGGCTTCTGAGGAAGATGTAATCAAGTCGCCGGGGTTGCATCTGCTGGTTGTAGGGGAAGTACGATGGCTTCGCAAGGTTCTGCGGAGGCAAACGAAAGTTTGCCGCTGTGAGAGTTTCCAGCATCAGTTCCCCTCGTGCCCCATCGCTGAGTACTTTGGAGCCACGACCAAGCTTGAATGTCTCATTCGCATCCAGGCCTAAAAGTCCTCGGGGGTGTTGCTCGAGTTGTTCCATCCAAGAGCGCACGATCAAGCTGGCTTCTGATACTGTGGCATGATGTGGTAGGTGCCCCGCCACGACCACAAAGCGGAGCTCTGTGTGTTGCAGCACGCAACTGATCCCCGCTTGGAGCAACTTGACTCGGCTGTGCTGTAGATCATCGGTGTGTACAATAGCTGTCCCCCTCCATTCTTCGTCTCGCTTGCCGACCAGCATTTGCATGTCGGCACTCTCAAAAACAGTCTTTCCTTTGTCGACGATAACCTCTTGGAGGCAGATAACAAAGGAGTCGCAGAAGGGTTGAATTCGTTCTTCTCGAAGGTCGCGTAGAAGGCGAAGAGCAACATCAGGTGCGAGCCCTCCGACGTTCCACGAGAAAACATGCAAGGCTCTCTGGGAGGTGTCCGTTCCCAGAGAGTGGGTTCTTTTCTTTGATCATCCCAAAGTCTTCTTGAGCTCCTCCCATCTGGACGTGAGGGAGCTCAGGGACAATCCCATCTGTCGTGCGAGTGTGGGCAAGCACACCCAGCCAACACCAACTTTGTCTGCATCCGCCGGCGGGCTGAGGACCGCGGAGGCGACTCGAACTTGAGAATACCAGACGTTCCCAGTGCCGAACTCAACCTCAAGTTCACGTCGGTCCCCGTTTTCTTCGAGGATCAGGCGTTTGATTTTCCCCGCGAATTGAGCTCGACGGCGGCGCTCAGGGCTTTCGCTCATGGCTGCCCACATGTAACGGTCGCCTCCCTGCTGTCTTTGTCCTGTGACAATGCGGGCTTCTCGAACTCGTTGGAGGGCTTCCCGAACTCGTCGGCGGTACTCGAAATTGTCCTCCCCCGTTCTAGCGTGTATTGGCACAATCGCAAAACCTCGGCGCAGTCCTGGTACAAATGCTTCCTCAACGTCCAGGTCGCATTGGAGCTCAGCGAGGTGTTGCTTGACGAGCTGCAGGGTCGTGCTGGCGCTCTGGTCGTTGTCCCACCCCCCCACCACCACTGCGGGGCGGGGGTTTGGGTCTTGTCCCCCGGAATCTGTTCTTGTGCTCGTTGTGGAGAAAGTAGCACTGGCGAACTTGCCCTCTAGCAATTCCAGGCGTCGGGTCAGATCTGTGTTCCCCGTGGCAACACGGTTGATCTTCTCCTCGATGCTGACATGTCTATCTGTCATAGCGTCCAGCAGCTCGGTCGTCCTCTTGACGTGCTCCCCCATGTTCGCTTCGACTTGTGCCACTCGGTGGCCTATCCCGGCCAGGGAGTCGTGGATGCTCGCTGTGATTTGTTGTTGGCTGACCTGAAGGGCTTGTTGCAAGTCTGCAAGGGTGAGGGGGGCGTCGGCTCTCGTCCCTTCCCCCTCCAAGTCGACCACCTCTCGGGCTCTCTTCGGTGTGCCCTGTGCGGGTCCCCCTGGCCCACTTGAGGGCGCGGCGGGAGGCAGGTCTGCCCCTTCCATAGCGCTTGAACTTTGCACTCTCGATGACGTCGCCGTAGTATCACGTTGCACAACCTCCGGGTTCCTTACGACCACACGAGGAAGTCCCGGATCGTGTTGCGGGTCAGGTTCTCCTGTAGGCTCGCCGATCCCCCTGACGGCGCGGTTGTTAAGGTCCCCCTAGCACAGCACAAACTATGCCTTGAGTTTCGTTCCCGACCACCTCGCCGTCCCGGACCCCCGGCAAGAAGACGTGTAGGACAGCGTGCTCAACGAACAAGACGATGGCGGTGGCGCGGCTCTCTGCTCTCTCGGCTCGCCCGGGTTGGACCTCCCTAATGCACGTAGATATCTCTCACAGGACAGAGGGCCGGGAGGTTTGAACCACTCGCGGCTTGAGCCAAAATGGCTACTCTCTCTCCAGGGACAGGAGGAAACAGCGGTCCAGCTGAATCCTCCGCGCGCGAGCGCGCACCCGCGGTTCACGGGTTTTGTTTGTTCCCTTCCCCAATTTGGATCGGGGAGGGCTCTTTCTTTCGCCAGGGCTGTGGGCACAGGAGTTGCCCCCTGTGCCCGCGCGCTGTCGCGCCCCCGACCGTTTTGGAGGGGCTGGAGTGACGAAACCGCTCAAAGAAGGCAAAAACGTTCGATGTTGGGTGATCGAATGCTCAGGCACAACAAGGGCAAATATAAATAGCCATAGAGAGAACCTGGGGATGCCCCCGACATCGATCGTGTTACGCCTAGAGCTTCGGCTGCAATCAAGTCGGCAATCCACTTGAGGGTTCGTACAGCAAGCAACATGCAAACGCGTCCAAACCGATAAAGTGAAAAACAAGAGACTTCCCCCCTCAAGGATGCGCTGAGTGATTGCTGCTACTGTGTTGTTGGATAGGGGTCGTCTCTTTGAGCCGCCCTGGGTTCGATCCCTTGGACATGGGCCACCTAGATGAGAGGTCGTCACTGTGGACATCTCCCCGTGGTTGTTGTTGTGCACTCGGCACGTCTACAGCTACAAGGAGCTCCCTGAGGTGGGTCCCCCAATCCAGCAAGCAAAGAACAAGCCTCACCAGCAATCAGCAACCTACTGAAGACAAAGGAACCTTAAATCCGAAGGAGCTCCTCCGGCCGGCTGTTAGGGCTCTTTCTTGTGTCAGCGAAAAACAAGCATCACAACCCCCACAAGGCATGTGACCAAGTCGTCAAATAGGCATCGAGAATCCAGAGCCCTTTGCCAGAGGCCGGATGTTTTTGTCTATCATGTCAAGGTGGAGGTGGTTCCCCTTTCGGGCAGTATTACACCGCCGGCCCAAGCAAACCGAAACAACTAGCCCCAACTGAAATCCCAGCACTAACCCCAACAAAAGACAAAAGCATCAAATGGGTCCAGGGAAAGGGGGCTCCTCCCTAAAAGACTCTTGGTGAAGGCGGCTTGGCTTCTTAGAGCTTCTGGAAATGGGCCCTCCATCCCGACAAGTATTTGGATCGGGGAGGGCTCTCTCTCTTCTTCTCCAGGGCATGAGAGGCTGTTTAGGCCCCCCGGCCACTAGGGCCCCCCATGTTGTTATGGGGCTTTGAGGAGGCGTGAAAAACAAGGTTGGACATGTTCCCCGGTGGACATATCGTGAAAGATTTACTTTAAGATGAGCTTTCCCCCGGGTAACATGCTGACAGTACTGCTTTGGGACGCCTGTTCGGAGCAGCTGTGCGCTCGTATCCAAGTTCGAGGACCTCTGTAACCGTAGCCATGAACAATAAAACAATCCCCCTGGACACGATCCGGCACTTTGGCGGTGCAATCATGCATCTTCCCCGACTGAGTTTTGTTGCTGGGAATGCTCTCTATCGGAAAACCAAAAAACCACGCCAAAACCCCTCAAGTACGGCCAGGTTGTATGTCAAAGAGTTACATCCCCAGCATCTAGCACGCTGTCTGGGGTTTCTTTAGACTACATGCCTGCTCAGTACTCGGTGGGGGTCCCCACTACAACCGAGATGACACTCCTGGGTACAACCTCGACTACGAAGGCACAACACAGAACGGGCGAGTACGTGAGGGTCCCCCTTGAGTACAGACAGTGGCATCGTATGCAAAGCAAGCGAGAGTCAGGTGCAATATGATCGGAACCAAAACAAGACTTAAACATTAGAGGCTACGACATGAGAAGATTAAGCCATACACCCCCTCGCTCGGAGAGAAACGTGGTGCACTATTCTTTGTTGTCTGCCTTCAAAGGCACATGTGACCAAGCGGAGCAAAGGAATCGACATGTCCTTATCCCCCGGGTTTCTTAGAGGCAGAAACAATGATACAGTACAAACATCGCACCTAAGGCAGCTGTAATTAGACACATCTTCCCCCGGGGGCATGTCTTTTTGAGAAGCCAAGTGCACTAGCATAGTAGTTCAGCTCGCGACAACGTGCAGCACTCTGAGGCCCGGGCGCAATCACACAGCATCTAACATCCCACTAGAGTACACAGTGAAGGTCCCCCTGTGTCACGTTGTCGCTTTGTACTCATTTGGCAAAGGAGAGGGCATGCCAACTGGTTCGAGTCTCCCCCACAAGGAAGGTACACTAGCATGAACTGTACGGGACAAACGATGGCGGCACAACCAGTTGTTTCCCTCCTACGTTCGGCATGACTTCAGTCCCCCCGGATTTTTAGTGCAAAAACAATGGCACAGCAATAATGTCAAGCCTACGGGCATCCCTGTGTGAAGTCAGTTTCGGGGGGTTTGAGTCACGTTACACAGCTGAGGCTCCCGCACTGTCCCTCCAACCACTAGCAAAGCACAAAAGGACACTGACCTGAAAGCCTAGTGGCGACCATGTGTAACGAGGCACGCCAGCGGGGGGACATCGGGCGGGTTCCTCGCTACCGAGCTGGCAAAACATGATCCCCCGACTCACGGGCGGCAGCCTCCCTCATGGCTCACTCCAGCAGCGCACGACCTACATGTCGTCCTCTTGTCCACTCCAGCAGACCATGTTGTCCCCCGCTTCAAAGCCCATGTCCGTGCACATGTTCAGCAAGCACACGGCGGCGGCGGTGGCTTTGGTCTGAGGAATTACGAGAAGGGCTTCGTGGGCGCCTTGTCCCCCTTTGTCGGGGGGAAGTAGGCGCAGGGTGTCTTGCACTGTCCCCCAGTCCATGGTGACGCTCGAGATACCACCAGTCTTGGGGCTGCCAGTCCCCCACTCCACTCTGTTGCTCTTCCGGAATGAGGGCAGAAATCACACTCACCAGGTTGAGGGCTGCTTGCTGGAAAGTCGGCAGCATGTTGTGTGGCCCGCTACGCACTTGTCGTAGGATCCCCCGAAGCATTTCCATGTCACGGTACCAATCAGGCACCACCGTGTCGTTCTGCATGAGACTACTTTCCACTCCCCCGGCTGCTTGCATCAAGACGTCCGACGGGTGCGCCAGCTTGTTCCCCGCGATGAGGTCGCGGAGGGCTTCCCCAACTGCTACCAGACGAGCCCACTGACTTCGGTCCATTTGTTCCCCTTCCAGGATACTGTTGAGAACTTCTCGGAGAGGGGTGAGCACAGGAGGCAGCTGAATGTGGACTGAGACGTCCCCCGCTTGAAGAGTCTCCAGCCACTGCAGTATCGTCGCCACATGTGGAGCGACCATGGCGTACGAAATGCAGCTACTCCCCCCGAGCCCTCTCTCTCTCTCTCTCTCTACCGGGACAGGAGAGGCGGGCGAACCCTGACCCCTCCGCGCGCCTCTCTCTCTCTTTCTTTCGGCAGGGCAGAGGGGTTGCCCCCCCTGCCCGCGCGC